GCAAGTTATCAGATGTTTCTTTATTTAATGATAAGTAAAACAGGTAGTTAAGACCAAGGCTGGAAAGTCTGTGTTGACAGGAGTTGGCGGAAGTTTAAGAAGTTGATGTTAGTGTCTGAAAAACATTTACTGACTCCAATCCATAATTTTTTTATTTTCCAGGTTGTTATAAAATATGATAGGGGTAGACAACTTTTTAAATGGCAGGCCAAATAAAATGTGAAAGTGCATGTACAGGAGTTAAATTTTCTAGGTTTTTACAACATATAGCTGGCTGAGTCAACAAGTCAATTGCAATTAACCAGCTGATTGAAAATGATGGTGAAAATGGTCGAAAAGAATGTATACAAAATTATAATAGATTGGGTAACACAAAGAATTGGTATATAATATAAACTTATAACAGTATAAGTTTAATGTATATTATTTTGCAGACCATTCACTATATGTATTTTGAAAACATCCACAGGTTGTTTTGAAAAAATCCAAATTACATATAGTTGGCCTGCAAGCTGTATGTTGTTTGGAAATATATTGACCAAGGGACATGGTCAATATATTTCCCTTGTCAGACATGAGTCAAATTTTGACCATCCTGTATTTTTTTTTTTTTTTTTTGTCATATTGACACTGCATGAGTCCAAAAATGTAAAAGAAAAACCACTACAAAAGTGTGTATGTGTGTTAAAAAATGCTTAAAAAGTAGCCTGATGATTCACTTGGTAGTGATGAATGTCCATCTGGATTAATATAATCAAAATATATTTTAAATTATTATTTAGAGGCAGGAATTGATGTAAAACTTTCTAAAATTCTATGATTTGGAGTCAGGGGTTTGGTATTTTGACTCCATAGTTCTGGTTAAGACGTAAAACAGAAAACAAAGCAAATAAAACTGTAATCACTACTAGAAAGGTTTGTAACGTACAGATTAAGTTCAATAAACTGCACAACTGTATTAAAATGAATGGTAATACTTTTAACAAATATACAGTGCAAATGAAACAGAGAAGGTGGAAGCTGGAACTTTCAAGTTATCTACTCTTGTCACAAATGATCAGAAAAAACATTTTGTTCTCATAAATATTAGTCAGTGCTTGTTGTATAAAATATTTTATCTATTAAAGCAGGAAGAGAGATATAATAAAGAAGCTTGTTGTATTAAGTTCTTGTAAATTTAATACTCATATAAGATATAAGATAGGCATTACCACTTTCAGGACAAGTTTCAAATTAAACCTTTTTGAAATAAACATAAAAAATGATCAAAATTGATTGAACTCAAATTTAATAGATCAAAATATTTTCCCAAAAATAAATCAAAAACAACTGCAGAAAAATTTTTGTTCTATAAATAATGCAACCAAGAAAAATGGTGGTAAGGCATGTGATATTATTTTTTATACAAGATTTGTTTATAATAATAAACAATGTTTGTATTGCTAGTAATGAGATTGACATAAAACAAATACAGAAAGAGAAACTGATGACAACATAAAATGAATGATATAATATATTATACACAGTGGTGATATTCAGCGGGTTCGCACAGGTTTGGCCGAACCCGTTGTTAACATTTTCAAAGTTTTCCGAACCCATTGTTAAACACACACAACATTTCTCAGTGGTTTTGTTTCTTTTAAAAAATATATTAAAATATACGTATTATACTCTGTAACACTACTAAACTAGAGCCTTATACCCTGTTCGCCT